ACCGCACGCACACTGATGTACTGCAGTGGGTTCCAGCACTAGAGTAAAGCCTATTACACGTGATCAGAAAATACTGCTTTGTAAGAGTTCACACGATTATATGATCTAAGGAGAATTTTCGCAACTTTTAGTGACCTCTTCATTTTCGATATGAGACTAGCATGGAGAAAAAAAACAAAACAATCATTCGTCTGATATTCTCATTGTGTGTACGAGGCTTAAAAGAGAAGTTGAATTTTTTTTTTTTTTTATCATCATACTTGCCTAGTTGGATAAAGCATTGGTCTGCTGCTTCAGGTGTCCCCCTCCAGCTCTACGTCTAAAAACTAAGTGATCAAAGACTGCTGATCGCTCAGTTCTCAGTGCTCCATAAGCAGAGAGCTGGTGACTGTCAGTCACTGCTCTCTGCTCTGCACTTCCCAGCGCTAACTGGAGCACTGGGCTGTGAAGGGGGTGGGAGCAGCTGGCTCAGGCTCTCAGCGGATCACTGAGAGGCTTAGTCAGGTGCCGGTCCAGTGATCTGGGTGGAGCTTTCCGCAGCCAGGATCGGCTGAGTGACGTCAGCCGACAGTGGACTTTAGCTGGCTGACAACAGATCATAGGAGTGAAGAAAGAACTGCACTCCTGTGATCCACAGAAGTACAGACAAATGAGCTTTGGCTTTACTTATCCTTCAGGGTATGTATAGCCACAAGTAAATATCTTCTTTCTTGTTCTACTCAGGTAGACACTGACAATTTTAAAAGGGACTCAGCCTCTAGAAAAGAAGATTTCTAAAAATGGATGTTGGGGATAAAGTACAGGTCAGTAGATGTGCAGCAGACTCCAAGACCCAGCCAATACAGCTGCATCTGGGGCAGTTCTGACACCATCAGTAAACCTTAACATACAACCAAGGACTGAACAGTGTATGGATGGTGCATCTATCTCATCATTTATCTTAAACCAGTTGGCACATGATGATTGGTTTTTCAGGAACCAGCACTGTCACAGGAGTGGTGAGTACTTAGCCCAGTATAACACAGAGCTTCCTCTCTGTACTCTTACTAGATGAGCAAAGTGGTAGGGAACAGAATGAAAGGCATGTATGTGCAGCTAGGGAGGGTAGCAGTTGAGTTATAGTGTTTGTAAAGGCTCAGCTTTTGATTTTTTTTTTTTTAAATAATTGGCATTGTATACAGTATTTACCTGCTCTGTGCAATGATAATGCACAGAGCAGCCCTTAACCTTCTCATTGGGGGCCCCCAGTGGCACTCTAGACTCCTCCTCTTCACAGTGCATCACATTAGGAAGCTGCTTCTATGGCGGGCTCACTCATAGGGAGGTGCCCCTGACCTGTGTACCCATACCACAAGGCTATCCTGACTGACACCCTGGTGGCCAGACTCTTTTTTGGATGTAAGTTTATCCTTAAACTGTACGTGCTGTAAGTTTTGCTTATTAAAGATATACTACACTATCAGAAGCTTCTCTGGGTCTCATCTATTGCATGGGAGCCTGCTTTTGAAGGTTCCGTTTAGTTGGGAATGATGTGTGATCACCCCCTCCCCCGCTGATGATCTTTCTGGTGGATGACTTACGAATATACCTGGATTGATGACATCTGGTGGCCAACCTGCAGATGACATCCTCCTAATATCACAAGTCCAGAGCACAAGGAGCGGGTCTTAATTGCTCCATGCGCATCTCTTGCGCTATCTGGTTAGTGCATTATTTGTACAATCACGAGATCACAAGAGTCACGATTATCTCTGAACATGGATTATTTGGACAATTGCACCTATCACTTTATCTCACCATGCGATATGGACTGAGTTCTTTCACATATGTTATTATGCTATTCATGTTCTGATTTTCCGCTTGTTCCTACTAACTTTATTAGCGCTGCATATCTTATTTACATGGGCTCACTCCTAAGCCAGGCTTTGTGTGTCTTTAGATACACACAGTGTGGCTCGGCCTCGCCCCCGCTCTCTGCTCAAAGAATTTGATAGACAACAACAGAAGCAAATGGCTCCCGCTGCTGCCTCTGGGTCCTGTGAGGAGAGAGAGACTGACCAGTGCTGCTGCAGATGGGCACAGCACTGGATAGACAGGACTCCCGTAAGTAAAAGGGAGGTGAGGCAGGGGGGATACTTCCACAGAAACATTTTTTACTTTAATGTAGGGAATGCATTAAGGGAAGAGTGCTCTGCCTTGAGAACCACGTTATTCTGATGCTTTGCCTTGCATGGGAAAGGAACAGGTCATCTTTAGGATTATTAGTAAAGGGTGCAAAAAGCTGCATAACTAGTAAAGTGTAACAATGTGCAAAATAAAAACAAGACATATAATGCACTCTGTCACAAACATAAACACGACAGGTTTTATTCTTTTTGGAATTCCCCCTGTAATATAAAGGTTTTGAATCTGCTAGAAGATCTGTTGACTTTTAACATTCCTCAGCAGGTGACAATGCTGTTTATTCTGCGGTAAAATCAAGTAGCACAGCTGTCATTTGTAGACAGGGTAGTTTTAGATGGAAAAGTAGCTTTAGAAGGACTTTAAAGTGACATTAAAGGTTTGTTTTTTTTATAACAAACATGTAATACTTACCTGCTCTGTACAGTGGTTAAGCAGAGCAGCTCCAATCCTCCTCTTTTCGAGTCCCCCACCGGAGCTCCAGGCCACTCCCTCCTGCTTACTGCCCCCATAGCAAGCAGCTTGCTATGTGGACACCCAAGCAGGCTTGCTCTCGAGCCGCTGTTCTATGTGTCCATTCATACACGGAGCGTGGCTCGGCCCTGTCCCTGCTTTCTCCTCCATTGCTCACTGGCTGTGACTGACAGTAGCAGGATCTACTGGTTACCACTGCTGTCTAAGTCAATGAAGAGGGAGAGACCTGAGAGCTGAGGCTCTCATGCACATCACTGGATCTGATGGGGCTCAGGTAAGTTATAAGGTGGTCTTGGGGGGGTGCTGCTGCACACAAGGTTTTTTACCTGCCTGCATTAAATGCAGGCAGGTAATAAACCTTGAGCCTTTACAACCACTTTAGGTAAACATCAAACCAATTAACTTCTAACTCCAGCCAACACTTTATAAGAAGTTAAAATATTTTTTTCTCTTCTTCTGGAATTAAGGTTTAAATCACATAAATAGACGCTAACTATTGTAAGTCCCCTGGTAGCGTAATATGGTTTGTCTCAACCCCAGAGTTACTTTTAATGGAAAGCTTGGTCTGCATATAAAATGTGCAGAAATAGAAATGAAGACCTTTAAAATGAAGGACTTCACATAAAAAGCTATCATTACAGGAATTAACCTCACACAGTTACTGGGATACAATATTTTTCACTATAGAGGTGCTTTAATGGAAACATCACAGCAAACAAGTTTGAGGGTAAGCTAATCATGAAGCGTATAGTAAGTACACTATAATTTTGTCCTAAGACCATGAATTACTCAGCATTTGGTAACAAAATGATCTCTTTGAAAGCCAAAAGACAAAAGATAAAGAGGAAAAGATTCCTCTGGAGGAAATTAGAATACTTTGTCCTAGATCGAATGTAAATACTTGACAGAGATGCTTTCAAGCATAACATAAAAAAAATATTAAAACTGACAAAAGTCCAGCATTGATCTTCACTGCCTTACTAACAATTCTGGCCTATTCTTTCTTCCTTCTATTACATGCCCTCTTCATTGAACCCAGTTATCTGCCTATCACTGACAGAACTACCACTATTGCAGAAAATATGTCCATTAAAAGGCTAGATATGCAAGTGAGAGTTATAAAGGATAGAGTCTGAACTGCGGAATTACAAATTATAAACATATGATTTCTTATGTGCATACTGAGAAGTGTACATCACCACCACCCACACAGTGTTCGTACACTACACTGCCTTGCTGCCTGCGTTTCATCCATGTGAATAGTCCACACTGCTCACTGGGTGATTGTCAGTGCAGGCCCACACACGCTGCAGTAGAGATCCACTCTACTTAAGCCTAAATTTTCTGGTGGAAAGATGGACCCCCCTTATTCGATTTCCTGCCAATAGTCTATATACCCAATAATATGTACACAAATAAAAGAATAAACCACACACTGCTTCTAGATAAGAGTTAAAAAAAATACTACAGAAATCCAAACATTTTATGATTTGGATCAAGGGGGCTCAACCTGTGGCCCCTGGAGCCTTTGATGTGGCCGTCGACCTCAAACCAGGGAAGCACACTTCTAATATATTCTGTGGGTTTGGTGAACTTTCAAAAAATGCACCACACCTGTAAGATATAATAGAAATCTGTGGCAATGCGCAAGTAACCCACAGGAAAGCCTCAGGTGCACTGTGCTGCACCTGCGTTACCGGTAAACCGCACTGAATCAGTGTGAAAGCAGTCTTATAGGGGGCTTAGTATAGCAAGGGCTTGTTTGTATTTGTGGTTGGGGGGGGGGGGTAGTAAAACCCCATAGTTTAGAAGTTTTTAACACACACCCCCAACCACTTGCATCAGGGGTTGCAATAGTGACAGTGACCCTGTCCCATGCTTGTGAAGCCTCCCTGTCACATTCTGTTTGGACAGTAAGGGTGGTGGGGGAAGACATATACAGGAACCAGTCCTTTCCATTTTCCTCCTGCAAGCGCTGTAAGCCTGCTTCTTCTCCTCCTCTCCCTCCCACCTGCATTCAGCGGCTGCAGGAAGAAAACGTTCGTTATGTTATTCAAGATAAAAAAAATTTCTAAATTCTGAACCATTTCATTGTGGCCTGCGACCGGCTACCAAATCACCTGAATGGGCCTCACTCTTTAAAAGGTTGAGCACTCCAGACCTAGAAGATGTTATTTACTTTGATAAGCTGATGAAAATATGTATTTGATTCATCAATGTTATAAAACCTTTTTATGAAAAGTATGCGCTGTCCTTGATGTAGAAGATAAAAAAAGGCACAAAAAAAAAAAAAAAAAAAAAAAGCAAAAACAAAAAGGTGCAGTTAACTACTGGTCATATCATACCTGGATCTTCCTCCAGAAGGCCTGATGCAGCCAGTTTGTTTCGGAGTGCATGATAATAATTTTCAAGTCCCTGGAACAGATAACAGAACAATGTAAATAGATCAGGCTTAGGAAGAAAAGATTCTAGCACCTTAATAAATGTACTTTGACCAAAAGCATATAAAATACGTTGTCCTCAAACCTTCATAAGTGCAAGAAAGCAGATGTAGGAAATGAGATGAGGAAATGTAATAACAATGGTACTGAGAAAAAGGTGTTAACACATTCTGATCACACAGCAGCTGCTTGATACCAAATTAAATCATTACCTGTATGTGTTAGAACACAGAACAAATTAATTGTCTCTATACATTATAGTACTGTGAATAAACGGTTTCTATAGGAACAAAATAATGTATACAGATATTTTCACCTATATACTACACAGTTATATTATTCAACTGAAGTCCTCCACATTTTCAAATGCAATTTTGTCAATTTGGCCATGTTTGTCATCCTACTGCATATATTATCAATATCACGGTCTACTTTTCTTGTGACCCAACCTCTAGCTAACCTTCTAAGCAAAAATCAGAGAAATTCTGTACTGGAATCACTGTGGGCAGGACCCAGGCGATCCCTGTCCATCTTCATTTGGGATGCCCTAAACGTTTTGATATTGAAAAATATTTGTTCCATATAGTCTTTCAGGTTAACTATACTTGGTATCATGTGACCTGCATCTTGGGATGCAGTATCTATCAAACTTGGCAAAAGATACTGATCTAACTATAGGTTTACATACAACACTGATATTGGGCAGAAAATATTGTCCATACATCCACCTAAGCAAAAATGGGTGAACTGTGTCACATGGGTTAGAAAGGTTTCTGTGCCTTCCCTAGGGGAACAACTACTAAATCTGAGAAAATCTGAGTGACTGGTTCAATTTCTCTGCTCTGGTACCAGTGAGACAATATTGATAAAGGAAAGAGTGGAAGTAGAGCACACTTGTCACTCTATGGCCTCACATCACGATAAATAAAAGTTAGCTTAGCTAAACCACGAATTTGGAGGTAAAAGGTTCTTAAATAGATTCCAGTTTAATTGTAATCATACCATGATATACAGAATACCTTTTGATACTAAGTACTTAGTGTAAAGGACATAATATCTGTACAGGTCATGGTGAAAAATAGAATTTATTGGCCTATGTACTTATCAAGAATGAAACCTATCTTCTGATCGAGTTGTTATTGTATATACCTTGGAAAATACATACATACAAGACTCAAAAGTAGAATGGAAAGGCAGTAGGGGCCAAATTGTATTGTTCGTTTTCTCAAAATTGCCTTTTTTATGCTATATTTAAAATCGGATTAAAAAAATCATGCAGGTGGATATGCAATATGCATCTATAGTTGAGCAGAGAGAAACCATAAAATCTGAAAAAAAAATTGATTATGCACCTCCAGATTGAAATCTTTGCTTACAACAGTGCACTAGGTGTACCTGTGCTCAGACTATGGACAGTAAAGTATTTACGCATTCTCAACAAGCTGATAAAAGAACTTAAAACAAGCCATCTCTGACCTTTGTAGCTGCATGCACTGTGAAGTAAGTCATCCTCGAAGATCACAACAACAAAAAAAAAAAGCTCCACTCAGGTTTCAGTAGGTTTGTAAAAACATAGAAACACCTTCTATGTGTTTTCCATAGAAGACTGACAGGCTGCCAAAATCTGCTCTCCACAGAAAGTAAAGAAGAGAAGAGTTTTGGATTTAAGTGCCTGTAAAATCTGCAGATGAATTTCTCTGTTCCTATAGCTACAAAGGAGAATAAGGGCTCAATTTAAAGTGATTTTAAAGCTTGCTTAGAATATGATAATACTTAAATCAGCAAAGTCTGGACACAGGATTGCTTTAAGATAGGTAAAGAACTAACAGACATTCTTTAGCCACTTGACCTCCCTTACCCCCTTCATGCATTTTTGATATTTAGCACTGTGTTACTTTAACTACAAATTGCACGGTCATGCAACACTGTACCCCAAATGCAATTTATATTTTTTTCACACAAATAAAGCTTTCATTTGTTGGTAATTAATCATATTCATACCCCTTGAAATTTTCAACATTTTATCATGTTACAACCAAAAACGTAAATGTATTTTATTGTGATTTTATGTGATAGACCAACACAAAGCGGAACATAATTGTGAAGTGGAAGATAAAATGATAAATGGTTTTCAAAATTTTTTACAAATTAAATATCTAAAAAGTGTGGCGTGCATTTGTAATCAGCCCCCTTTACACCGATACCCCTAACTAAAATCTAGTGGAACCAGAAGTCACCTAATTAGTAAATAGAGTCCACCTGTGTGTAATTTAATCTCAGTATAAATACAGCTGTATTTTGAAACCCTCAGTGGTTCGTTAGAGAATATTAGTGAACAAACAACATCATGAAGGCCAAGGAAACCACCAGACAGGTCAGGGATAAAGTTGTGGAGAAGTTTAAAGAAGGGTTAGGTTATAAAAAAAAAATCCCACATTTTGAACATCTCACAAAGCACTGCTCAATCCTTCATCTGAAAATGGAAAGAGTATGGCACAACTGCAAACCTACCAAGACATGGCCGTCCACCTAAACTGACAGGCCAAGCAAGGACAGCATTAATCAGAGAGGCAGACAAGAGGCCCATGGTAACTCTGGAGAAGCTGCAGAGATCCTCAACTCAGGTGGGAGAATCTGTCTACAGGACAACTGTTAGTCGTGCACTCCACAAATCTGGCCTTTATGAAAGAGTGGCAAGAACAACGTCCTGTTTGCAATTTGCGAGAAGCCATGTGGGGGACAAAACAAACATGTGGAAGAAGGTGCTCTGGTCAGATGGGACAAAAATAGAACTTTTTGGCCTAAAAGCAAAACACTGTATGTGGCAGAAAACTAACACTGAACATCACCGTGAACACACCATCCAGACGTGAAACGTGGTTGCAACATAATGTGGGCATGCTTTTCTTTAGCAGGGACAGGGAAGCTGGTCAGAGTTGATGGGAAGATAGATGGAACCAAATACAGGGCAATCTTAGAAGAAAACCTGTTAGAGTCTGCAAAAGACTTGAGACTGGGGTGGAGGTTCACTTTCCAGCAGGACAATGAACCTAAGACATACAGCCAGAGCTACAATGGAATGGTTTAGATCAAAGCATATTCATGTGTTAGAATGGCCCAGTCAAAGTCCAGACCTAAATCAATTGTCAATATATGGCAAGACTTGAAATTTGCTGTTCACAGATGCTCTCCATCCAATCTCACAGAGCTTGAGCTATTTTGCAAAGAAGAATGGGCAAAAATGTCACTTTCTAGATATGCAAAGCTGGTAGAGACATCCCCAAAAAGACTTGCAGCTGTAATTGCAGCGAAAGGTGGTTCTACAAAGTATTGACTCAGGGGGGCTGAATACAAATGTATGCCACACTTTTTAGATACTTATTTGTAAAAAATGTTGCATACTTTTTTTCAAGGCACCTTAAACAAAAAAATAAATAAATAAAAATGTATTTTAGCCTCCCTGGTGGTCTGATCATGTCAATATTTTTGAATGGCAAAGCGGTACATTGTTTTGCATGGAAAATTGTTATTTTATATTGTAGGCTTGTAATTCTTAGGAATAATTCACTTAAAATTATCCAAACAAGAGTCTAGTAAACATCCTGAGTATGAAAGTTTGAAACACTAAATCATAAATTATAAAAAAAAAATTATAAATTTAATTCAATAATGTAATCAAACCAAAAACACTGAAATTTGAAATAGAGCACCCAGTTCACGCATCACTGAGCAAAGTCGCAGAATCGTTGCTGTTGTCACTTTCAGTGTCTGATGAGGAATTTCCCCACGAATCACTATCACTCAATTCTGCAAGTGATTCTAATTTACTATCGCTGTTTTCTAGCTGGTCTAAAACCGCTTTTGACCTAAAGGGAAACTTTTTGAATGCCATGGACGTTCTCAAGTTACCAGGCAGGAAGAACAGTAAAAGTGCCAGGCAGGGGGCACTGACAAAACACTCGGGACAAAACTGAGGTGATCTGATACAGCAATGTAATCCTAACAGATTACAATGTATTGTGTGTATGTCATGTTTTGTTTACTTTTTTTAATCTCCCGCTGGTTCTGCCCCCCCCCCCCCCCCCCTCATTTGGCCAGAGAACACAGTGGGAGGACATTGGGAAATCACAGGGACAAGGTAAATTACCCTACAGTGTAATCCTAAGTGTGGCTCAGGGTTACCGCTTTTGGTACTGAAAACTAACCCCAAGCCACACTCGGGATTACCGCAGCGGGGTTAATTGGTTTGTGTGAAAATGTTAGTGTCTACAAACTATGGTATATACACTGAAATGTATGCAGCTATGACGCTATACCGGTAATGGTGGTGATCAGAGACTTATAATGTGACTGATAGTGTGGTGGCCAATCTAGCACTAACAAACACTTGCTGGGACGTACACTGACACCACTAGTGACCAGTAAATATACTGTACACTGTACTAATAATGACACTGGCTGGGAGGGATTAACATCAAGGGGCAATTAAGGACTTAACTGTGTGCTACCAAGTGTAATGTGTGCTGCTTTTACTAAGAAATCCAGCTGTTACTTGCTTTTCAGGGAGAAGAAACAGCCAGATCGCTGTTCTGTGTACAGAGTCCTGTGTGTTTGTTAACACAGGACTCTGTGCTGTGATTGGATACAGCCGATTAGCTGGTTTCCAATCACAGCACAGGAGAGCAGGGGAAGTGCGTATGCGTGCCCCGAATCCGGAAGACAGCTGGCAGCATATTTTTATGTTGACGTAGCCTGCATCTGCCACCCGCTCGCAGTACATTTACTGTGAGCAGGGAACAAGTGGTTAAAAATTGAAAGTCAGCAGCTACTAATGCTGTAGCTGCTGACTTTTAATATATGGACCCTTACCAGCCGAAGGATCCAGCGACTTCTTCAGTCTTCGGGTCCCCTGCGCCACCATCTCGACTGAGGGAAGCGGTCTGTGACATCCTGATGCTTCAGAACTAGCTCCCCACAGTGCATACACGAACCGTGCTGTGCTTTGTGTATGGAACCGCAGTCTCCTGGGATGGGTGACATATCCCAGGAGGTTCCGTGCACACGGAGGTGGGGGTTGGGCTGAAGTGGGAGCTAGAAATATGTATCTATAAAAAACGCTCTTCAATTAGCGTAACTTTTTCTTTTTTTCAAGTCTTTTGAAGAGAAATTCCACTTTAATGCAAGCTGGGAGCAAGTAAAAAAATAATCTGGTCATTATTAAAAAAAAAAGGTTAAAACATAGCAGCCCTTAGAAATAAAAACATGTAAACCAATATGTTCAATTTATTTCTCCAGAGATTTGGCACTCTTACACTAGCAGTGTTATTTCTTCAGTTCGCCTTGAGCTGCTATAAGTCAGATTCAGTGCTCACCTTGAGCTGATGTAAGTCAGTCTCAATCTTTGTAATATAATGTAACATCCGTTTGAACGTCTCAGACGGTGGTGTAGGCTCAACAAGCTCCGCGATGGGTGCACTTAGCCTCTCGGTTGCAGAGGAAAAGCTGCTCTTTGATTGCTGGTCAGAAAATGTGCACCTGGTAGAAGACTCAGGACAGATGTAATCTTCATCCGTGGAACTTTCCTGTATGCTCTCATAACCATCCAGGATCAAGTACCGCCCTACATAAAGGATATAAAGTAAGTGGTCTTTATCCAAACCAAACAGTATTTCCCATTACCTCTAATATAAGCAAGCCTGTCACCTGATATCCGATATTGCATCTCGTCCAAGCCTCTCTCTTTACTGTATTCCTTAGAGTGCTCCTCGCTGTGAAGCTCTTGAGCATCAAAGTACTGTTCTATGCTCTCTTCCACAGATTCATCAGTCATCTCTGAGCTTAGCCTTCCATGCTCAGAGCATCTTTCTTCAGATTTCTGTCTTAAAGAGGATTGTCTATTAGAACAGCTCTCTCTGATTTTCTTTCGCTGGTGGTTTAGGCCCAAAGACACAGGCTGTCGGTCACTGTCTGCAGCGTGCTCCTGGGAACTCCGACTGCAGAAACGCTGGAAGTTTTCAGACTCCTCTTTCTGAAGGAGCTTAACTTGTTGCAATAGTAACTGTTTAAGTAATTCCACTAAAAATAAAGAATAAACTGAAATCAAAATAAAATTGGGGATAGCACAGAATCACTAGTGCATAGTTGTACACAAATCTGACATCAAAATAAGGCTGGGAATAGCACTACATCACGTGTACATAGCATATATACAAAGCACAATTCCAGCCCAAACTGGTTTTTTGTTTTGTTTTGAGGCAACTTGTACTCATATGCAATGCATATTGAGAATTCCTCAAACAGCAGTTATGCACTTAAACTGAAAATGGCGAAATATTTATCTTCATGACGTATATGACAAGAATCTCCCTTTGATCCTTACAGTTTCTGAGTGCATCCAAGGCCCAAGTGTGCTCCAAGTCTGCTGCGTTACAAGGGATGTTGCTGGAAGTCGATGTGGAAACTGGATGGTGAACAGTCATTTGTTGGGGCAGCAGAACGCCATCATCTCCAGCATGGGGAACAGACATGGGCAAAGTCGTGCCTTCAGTTTCTGGGTCCTTGTCTGTGGAAAAAGACACAGAAATAGCGAACGCACAGTTATTTTAAAGGAAAATGCATTGAAAATACACAAACTATCATAACACACAAAAGAGGCATTTAACAGTAGAGAGGAATACTGAAAGGACATCTAACTTGACATTACAGAGGAGAACCCACAAAATATCTGATGGTACTAGCCATAATCTGCCACATGACACACACTTTTAAAACACACTTCTCCATTAGTGGGTAACCTAAATCTGAACTAGGGTTGCCACCTCATCCCTATAAAGCCAAACACAAATTAATTACACAGGTCCTGTGGCAAATTTAATACAGATAAGCCACTAATGCATGCCATAGATGGTTCGTTTATCGCCCAAATTTTCGGCCAAAAAACAAAACATCGGTTGTTCTGTTTGCCACCAATGATTACGAAAATCGTACGTTTTCCGTAAATTTTCCAGCATGATGGATAAAAGAAATGAGCAGGAACCGCGAAAACACTGTTCAACAAATTTTTATTTTTTGCCAGTTTTGGAAACAAAAGGATCCATTTCTTAATGAATTTCACATTCTGAGTTCAAATATAACAATGAAATTTGTCAATTGGCTCTAGTTTTTCTATAAACGGAAAGTTTTCTACTATAGGCGTAATGACTACATAATGCACAATAATTATATAGATAGATGTCTTTCCACAAATATAAAGCAAGTGATATTGACTACATAACAAAGCCTAAATGGCATAATATATTGCATAGGATTACCAAGAAAAATTATAGCCATAAGCCAAGTTGAATCATTTTAATACTTAGGATTCTCACTAGTTTTGTCTTCAGTTTGTGTCGGTTTTGCTTCTCTTGGCTTTTCTCTTGTATTCGAGGAAAGACGTACGAACATCACTTGCTAGGAGATTCCACTGTTGTAGTCTTGACCCCAAAAGCTCTGCCTTGTTCTTGGGAAGATCCAGGTCTCTGATAAGATCGCTCAATTCCACTTGTGTAATGAGGTGTGGTTCAGTGGGTGTGGATGGAAGAAAGTCTGGGTCATGCGAGGTTGACAGTTGATGACTACACGCTTCAGGTTCTTCCTCACCTCACTCAACCACGAAGGATTCTGGTGCTTTAGGAATTGGTAGCCCCTCTCCATGAGGAACTGGACGTATTGCCGATGGAATATTTGGATAGTGCACAGATAACTTTGTCTTCTTATTTAGCCCTTTTGTTAGAGGCACCATACAAAAGTAACAATTACTAACATGATCTGTTGGCTCTCTCCAAATCATTGGCACAGCGAAAGGCATAGATGCCTTTTTTCCATTCAACCATTGCTCCAGTGCCGTCCCACAAGAATTGCAGCATATATGTGGTGCCCAGCTCTTGTCCTGGTCTCCTATCTTGCAGCCAAAATACAAGTTGTAGGCTTTCTTAATCATTCCTGTTATCCTCCTTTTTTGTGAGATAAAAGTTATTTCACCGCAGATATAGCAGAAATTATCTGCTTTATTCACACAAGTTCGAGGCATTACTGAGTAGCCTATATAAGCATAAAACGAAATGTAAAGACGCTGTCGAACTACAATCAGCTACAGATACTGAAGCTTTTATGCAGTGAAGTGATGCAATTAAAGGCTAATATTGCATCATCTCAGTATACATGCAATTTTCTATTGGTCACCAGTATCAATTGCGCAATATGCAGCTGAAGTTGCATCATAATTTTGAATGGCTTACGTCATTAGATGGGTGAATATATCATGGAAACTAGAGCCAATCAACATTTTTTAGGGTCATTTTCATTTTCAGCACCCCAAAATTATGTAAGATTAGCTAATTTTATGCCCAAAACTTTTTACCTGTTGAACAGTGAAATCGGCCAATGACATTGCCCCACTAATGCTGCGAATATCGGACAATTAGTGTTTCGGATGAAAATTCGGCCGATAAACGAACCATCTATGGCCTGCATAAGTGTGTTTAATTACCACTTAATCAGCCACAGAACCTGTGTAATTAATATGTGATCAGTTTTAAAGGGATGAGGTGGCAACCCTGATCTGAACTCCAGGGAAAAATCTAAATACACAGATGAATATATTGTTTAATGTAGCTTTTAACCTGCTTAAAGATTTGTATTTCTGTCTATGCAGTCCTGGGACACAGTCTGCATTTTACAATAAAATGCTAATGAGGCTCTGGTATTACAATGATTATTTACGTTCTAAGATTTTATGAAGAGGTATAAAAAAATATGACAATCATTCTTGCCTTTATGGAGCACTGCCTGGCATGAGTATATTGCTAATGAAAATGTTATAAAGCTGTATATTTTTGAGGAATCCCTGGGGAAGCCTTTGTAGATGAACAGAACTACAGAGGCAGGAGTGAAAAAAAACGTGAATGTAGTTATGCAATTAATTAAATTTACTCCACATATGTTTCAATTTAATTAGTCTAAGAACCTGAATTTGACTTTGTATCAGCATGTTGTAATGTCCTGCACAGCAGGGGGAGAGAAAAACAGCAACAGAAGCCATCTAGAGCGGGTGTGCTGTGTTGACAAGGAACATATACATAGGAGGTGAAAGCAGAGTAAGCAAAGATATTAGCTCCGCCGATTCTCTTTTACTGACCAATCACAGGCTGTGGGTGGGAAAGTAACCTAGCTGTACTACCTAACTACAGTAGAGCAAAGTCAGGTCACCAACCCAGCTGTGTTCTCTGGCAGGGCTGTGCAGATCTTAGGACTGGATGGACAGAAATACAAATCCTTAGGCAGGTAAACGAGTTCAAATACAAGTATTTCATCTATGTATTTAGCAGTTTGCCTGGAGTTCATCTTTGAGAAAAGAAAAAATGATAAAACTTTTACCAGCTCTCTACCATATTTCATTTGATTAGTAGAATATCTTACAAAATGTACACATTACTGCAAAATTAGGGAAAAAAAAAGAAAATCAAATCTCCTTTGGATTACATTGGGCTTACTCAGTAAAAGAAATTGTACAACTAATACAAATTTATAATTCATCAATCTTGCTTTATAAAAGTCGCCCTGTTTGTGTGCATTTTTATCTTAGGCTCTCCAATGCAATAACCTGCAGTACTGACAAGTGTATTCTGATGGTGGGAACTCTACCTGCTGTCAGAATACAATAGCTCAGTGGGGAGGATTCCATCATCCACATCAAAAGTGTGGATGGGGAAACAGAGTCAATTCTTTTCGTTCACCCTGCTGGTTGAATGCAAAAAAAAAAAAAAAAAAATGACTCATCTATGGGCTTCCTTAGTGTAGTTATATATTACCTATGCTGTTAGTGTGCCTTATCTTGTAATGAAGGGTTGGCATGTTGTGGCGCCAGTTTGTAGTGTCATGCCTGATCGATTTCCCTAAGTGCATAGATTTCTTTAGCAAGCCTGCCCTTATGCACCAAAGGGACAAGACAACTTCATGTTCTGGGTCACACAGTGTCCAGTGCATGCCTGCCATCTGTTCTGTATTGAATCACAATGTGGGAGTGCTAATGTAATGAAAAGTAAATTCTATCTTTATGGTTAGCTCTATGTGTCTGTCAATGCACTGCCTGCATATATCGGTGTTAGATTTAATTACTGCATTACCACTGAACAGAGACCCAGAGATTGTGGGAAATGTAGTTTATTCAAAGGAAATGTCATTTCTCACACTAAAGACAGAGGACATGCATTAACCCGGGCAGAGCCATACCAAATACCTCATGTTCCTTCACAAACCAAAACTGCTGACAAAGGAATGCATACAGGGCAACAAATGACAATCAGAAACTACATGATCAATGAACATCCTATGCAGGTAGGAACGTGTACAATACTTGAAATACAATACAAGAAACACTTTAGTCAGAAACCTACATTCCCCATTAAAAAATGCAGCATTAAACAAAAACACGGACACACATACGCATTAGAAGAAAAAGCAAAAAAATATACTTATGGCACCATAGGTGGAAAATGACATCACAGACCTTCCAGTAAAATGTTATGTGATTCAGAGAATCCCAAATGTCATAGCAAGCAGCTTGTACACCACACTACAGCATCTTCTTTTGAGATTTGGGATCCTCAGCATTCCCCAAGACGTGGTGTAAGATAAGTATATTTTTTATGTTTTCTTCTAAAGCAGAATCCGTTATTATATTTTTGCCACGTTCCCCAAGACTTCCCAGATACAAAAACATCTATTGCATGTGCTGGAGATAAAATTGTATCCTGAATGGTCTTGGGCTGTTGAGCTGAATTGTTACCACTCACTAAACTCACCTGAACTAGGCACACCCTGTCCTTGTTGTTCATGGTCCCCCTTCTGTTTGTCTCCATTTTCGTGTTCCTCTCTGCAAAATTGAAAAAAAAAAAGGCAATGAAATATTCTCAGTGTGCAAAATCACATTACATATCATCGTATTTACCAAGAAACTGTCCTTGGCAGTTTTTTTTAACATATAATTTAAAGAGTAAATGGTACAAATCATGAAAGTTTCATGAAGATTTGATTAATATTCTACAAATGCAAACAAAACTGTAGCATTCTAGGTACAAAAACAATCTGTGGTAACTGATAAAAATAAAGGTGTTTATCATAATGATTTTCTAGCTTAGTTTTCTTTCTTTACGAGTTTAGGAGAAATCTTATCAGTATAGAATCTTTAGTACACAAAGATGTTACAGTCTAAAAGGTATCTATATTCAAAATCCTAAGAGCTGCATTAAATAATTGCAAATATATAGAAATCTGTTGTCCATTAATTTACAATACTTGTGATACAAATCACTTATCAGACCTTCTCACAAAATTGTTTTGCTGGTGATTAGCCCCACATGACCCAACCATCCATGTGGATTTACTCATTTTTTTGCCTGTTCCTCTTGCAACCATTTTATTTTGCAATTAAAATAAATGTAAAAACCCCTGGAGAATACTTGCATGCTTCAATGTGTAGAGATAGTGCATGTGTTGCCGCACTGGAGCCCACCGGGGAATAGAGTAGAACCAAATAAGGGATAAGGTGCCAGGGCTCAGGATGGAGGAGGGCCTTGCTATCACTGTTAACCACCCGGATCCCTTTGTGGAAAAGCCAGATTTTGATGAGAATGCAGTTGAACCTTTTTGTGACCATAGTTTTTTGACTAACTTGATAACTACAGTCAGGTCCATAAAAATATTGGGACATGGACACAATTCTAACATTTTTGGCTCTATACACCACCACAATGGATTTGAAATGAAACAAACAAGATGTGCTTTAACTGCAGACTGTCAGCTTTAATTTGAGGGTATTTACATCCAAATCAGGTGAACGGTGTAGGAATTACAACAGTTTGCATATGTGCCTCCCACTTGTTAAGGGACCAAAAGTAATGGGACAGAATAACAATCATAAATCAAACTTTCACTTTTTAATACTTGGTTACAAATCCTTTGCAGTCAATTACAGCCTGAAGTCTGGAATGCATAGACATCACCAGACGCTGGGTTTCATCTCTGGTGATGCTCTGCCAGACCTCTACTGCAACTGTCTTCAGTTCCTGCTTGTTCTTGGGGCATTTTCCCTTCAGTTTTGTCTTCAGCAAGTGAAATGCATGCTCAATCGGATTCAGGTCAGGTGATTGACTTGGCCATTGCATAACATTCCACTTCTTTCCCTTAAAAAAACTCTTTGGCTGCTTTTGCAGTATGCTTTGGGTCATTGTCCATCTGCACTGTGAAGCGGCGTCCAATGAGTTCTGAAGCATTTGGCTGAATATGAGCAGATATTTGCCCGAAACACTTCAGAATTCATCCTGATGCTTTTGTCAGCAGTCACATCATCAAAAAATACAAGAGAACCAGTTCCATTGGCAGCCATACATGCCCACGCCATGACACTACCACCACCATGCTTCACTGATGAGGTGGTATGCTTAGGATCATGAGCAGTTCCTTTCCTTCTCCATACTCTTCTCTTCCCATCACTCTGGTACAAGTTGATCTTGGTCTCATCTGTCCATAGGATGTTGTTCCAGAACTGTGAAGGCTTTTTTAGATGTCGTTTGGCAAACTCTAATCTGGCCTTCCTGTTTTTGAGGCTCACCAATGGTTTACATCTTGTGGTGAACCCTCTGTATTCACTCTGGTGAAGTCTTCTCTTGATTGTTGACTTTGACACACATACACCTACCTCCTGGAGAGTGTTCTTGATCTGGCCAACTGTTGTGAAGGGTATTTTCTTCACCAGGGAAAGAATTCTTCGGTCATCCACCACAGTTGTTTTCCGTGGTCTTCCGGGTCTTTTGGTGTTGCTGAGCTCACCGGTGCGTTCCTTCTTTTTAAGAATGTTCCAAACAGTTGTTTTGGCCACACCTAATGTTTTTGCTATCTCTCTGATGGGTTTGTTTTGTTTTTTCAGCCTAATGAGGGCCTGTTTCACTGATAGTGACAGTTCTTTGGATCTCATCTTGAGAGTTGACAGCAACAGATTCCAAATGCAAATAGCACACTTGAAATTAACTCTGGACCTTTTATCTGCTCATTGTAATTGGGATAATGAGGTAATAACACACACCTGGCCATGGAACAGCTGAGAAGCCAATTGTCGCATTACTTTTGGTCCCTTAACAAGTGGGAGGCACATATGCAAACTGTTGTAATTCCTACACCGTTCACCTGATTTGGATGTAAATACCCTCAAATTAAAGCTGACAGTCTTCAGTTAAAGCACATCTTGTTCGTTTCATTTCAAATCCATTGTGGTGGTGTATAGAGCCAAAAATGTTAGAATTGTGTCGATGTCCAAATATTTATGGACCTGACTGTATATTTTACCTTTGATATGGGCGTGAGAACTAGCAACAAGCACATTTATGCATCCCTAGTTTTCTGCTGCAAGGTTAATTCATGTTCTCATGGTAAGGGTCATTTTTCATGTAGACCTGGGGTGGAACTCTAGGCAAAGCACATCGCCACAAGCAATTTATTAGTGCCATCTGATATCTTTAAAGTCCTCTTCTTTGTATTTATCTGTTGAAACTTCCATTTCTCCAGTTGTGACTTCAATCTGAATTTGTAGTGTTGTCCACCTTTGGATCTGTGCCTTTTCAATCACAGAAATGACAACATCAAACGTTGCAGTATCGCCTACCATACAAACTTTGTCAGCTTTGAACTGTTTCTTCTCTCCTGACATAGGAGAGTCCTTACAGGATTCCCACTGCCCACAGAGTAATAACCATGTGAAAGGAATATGAGGTCATGTGGTAGAAAATAAGACTTATAAAATATTAACGTGATTGTAAACCCTCACCTTGTAAAGCAACCCATTCAGTTTAACCACTTTCCCTCCAGAGGATTTACTGCGCTGCGTTACTTTAACTGACAATTGTGCGGTCATGCACCGCTGCACCTAAATTAAATTTACGGCCCTTTTTTTCCCCAAGAATGTAGCTTTCTTTTGGTAGTATTTGATCGCATGTGCCTTTTTAAGCGCTATAAGCAAAAAAAGATCGATAATTTTGAGAAAAAAAAACCAAAACAATATTTTGGACTTTTTGCTAGTAAGCATGTCCAGTAAAAAAAAAAAAAAAAAAAAAAATCACATTTTGGCATAAATTTAGGCCAAAGTGTATTCTGCTACATATCGTTGCTAAAAAAAAAAAAAAAAAATCCCAATACGTGTAAATTAATTGGTTTACGTGAACGTTATAGCGTTTACAATTGGCGGTATAGATACTTTTAGCGGGACTAGGGAGGGCATTCTGACACTGGGGGGGGAACTAACTTGGTGTCACTGACACTGGATCAGTGCTGAAAAAGCAGGAAGGGGTTATTGTGAAGGGCAATCAAAGGGTTAGCTGTGCACAGCCATTCTGAGCAGTGTGCCCGAGCTGACAGGGAGGAAGACTGTAAACAAAACAGTCTTCCTCTCCGTCGGTGATTGTTGGTAATCATCGGCCGGAACCCAGTGATTGACATCCGCGGCCGTGAATGGTGGTGTGGGTCCGCGGCCGGAAATGCGAAATCACGTGTATCTGTATATTATATATATATATATATATATATATATACACACACACACACACACACACACACACACACACACACACCTTTTTACTCCCCCCCTTTTTTTTTAAAAAAAAGCGATTACATTCCCTCTGTTCTCAGCTGTACAATAGCTGGAGGAGAAGAAACAGCAGTACACTGATCTTCCTAGTGAAAGGCTGTGTAGGAGGGGAGGGGTCAGGACAAGGCTGATAATTACAGGAGAGCAGGCTGAGTTCCCAGCACAGCTAGTGAACGGACCACATCATGTTCTCATCAGTTTTTAGCAGAAAAGCAGGACTGGTAGGAACACCAAGGATTTCACACAAAGGAAGCAATACAAACAGAGCAGGATATTTTTTCATACAAGTACATGGTACAGCAGGCATTTGTAAAGAATATGAAATGTTGGGTTCACATATTCCTAAACATGAGATTGACTCAATTAAATCTTTAGTGCTGAAGTTTTATACTTTAACCCCTTAGTGACTGAGGGTAAAACAAATCTTAATGCCCGAGCACAATTTTGTGTTAGTAAACCGTACATATCATCACAACTACTTTTTACATCCAGGTGAACTATACAGTTTTTCTCAGCACAAATTGGGCTTTCATATCGTGGTAAATGGTAATTATATTGTCTGTTTTTTTTTTATCAAAGGAAAACTAGCCCAAAATAAAAAAAAAACAAAAAAAAAAAAAAATTCCAATCTTTTATTTTAAATTCAGATTTACCATCAAAGAACAACCAAAAATAAATTTTCCTGCTCCTGACGATTGCAGCGATACCACACACACGTGTATGTTATTTGTACCTGTAGTAGAGCCAAGAAAACAGTGTGCATTTTGCGGATTTGTATCCTACCTAAACACACTGATGCCAATTAAAAAGAACATCACACAAAATATACTGACCCTGGGCTTTGACCCTGACCGATCCTAACACTAACCTTGGTACTGACCCAGATCAAACTGTGATCTAATTTTTTTCTCTTTTTTTAATGTTTTAAAATTATTAGGACCATTTCAGTGAGTCTGCATATCTGCGTATGATCGACAGGAAGGGGTTAAAAAGATGCACTGTAGCCATGAAAGGGTGAAAGGACACAAGTCTTTTAGGTTTGTTCACACAATAGAAACGTAGTCCAGATGCGTTCTGGATGCGTTTCTGCATGCGCGTTCTTGACGTGTTCCGGTGCATTTTTGATGTTTTCCGGTTCATCTTTTCCCCTCTCCTTTTCTTCAAATTAAATAGGGACTTGTGAATTCCAGTGCGTTTTACTGCGTTTCAGTAAAGTTCTGTGCAAGAAAAATACAGCTTGTTCTACTTTTTTTTTTCTGCAACTGGAACTGCAAGCACTGATGTGAACTATGACATTGACAACCATATAACCTAACTTTCTGTGCATCTTGGATAGCACATGCAGTGTGAACTGGCCCTTAATATCTTCAGACACAGCAGACTCCACTTCCCCAAGCATGTATTTTATGACTTTTTTTCTAATACTTACATTTTCCACGTGTGTTTAGGCCAGTCCTGTGACAACCAAGGTCCTTTTCATTCTAGCTGGGATGTGGAGAATGGTGCTGATATGACAACATCAGTGCCACTCACTGTATCATTATACTGTGTAGGCAGGACGCCATGGTGATACCAGCCTCAGAGAGTGGGGATGGAGACCATGACACCCTGCACTCAAAAGATGTTCTCAGTCTTCCTTGTTGACTGAAGCAAAGTATCATTCAACTCAGAAGACCAGGGACATCTAGAGAAGGAAAGGAAATATGTAGGCTTTAATTCTGAAAATGCAACTTGCTTGGCTGTCTATAGTGTCAATTTCTTAATCACCGACATGGAACAAGTAAGCATGTATGCAGCAAATTAAAGAAGATCTATAGTCACAGCATATACTTTTGTTTTAGAACATCAGACTTGTATTAGCAATACAAACAATAGTTATATTTGAGAATCCAAAACAGGCTTACTTGAAACATTTCCTTTCATGTTGGGATTGCTGCCTGCCTGCTAGCCATCTATTCCCACATCTTCCTGGATTCCCTGCATGCTTTGCAGCTTCTACTCAGCTAAAGGGTTTTTTTTTTTGTATTTCTAAGGACTATATATCCCATGGTAAATTGCTGCCTGCATGCTGTAATTCCTTATACGGACTTCGCCTCCTTAAAAATTCCTCCGCTCAGCACATCTGTAGTTCAGAGGCAGGCTCTGTGAAATATGTGACACAGCAGTGCCTACTCACAGAGGTCAGCAATGACAAGTCATGTATTTCTCTGACAGTTTCCTCTAACAGGAAACGTATAGGAAACATACAGTGGTTTGCTATAGAATCTTTTCATTTCAATATATGCATTACTGCATAATTTAGACAGATATGCCATATGACTGTTATTTTTATCAACTAAACAATTTCTAAAAAAATAAAATAAATGGTGATAAAAATTAACCAATTGTAGAAAATTGAGAAGTTAGTCAACTGTGATATAAAATAAACATGATGATGGTGAGGGTTCAACAAGAATGAATGGAGAAGTGAATGGACAAAATGAGCAGCTGCAATCTCTGGCCCCACATCTGTAGATTTCTATGGAGCCCTGACTGATGAAGATTTTTGGCTAGTTGATAACATGGCAAGAGGGCACACATACATGGTGAAAACATGAGCAGAAAGAGATTATTTTTGGCAATATAAATTAGGTTAAGGAACTTCCAATGCCAAAGAAATTTGCACATGAAAAAATTAAATTATTCTATAAATCTTTGTGCCAGGACACAATGTGCCAAATCATCAGCATCAAACATGGAGAAAGAAAAGGCAATCTGTTGTAGGCACTGTGTGGGCTTCCTAACAAGCCAAGTTCTTCTTGGTCTCTGCCTATAGAGCAATGATCAGTTAGGTTAATGAAAAAAAGGTCTAACCAGAGAAAATCAGGAAATGAGTTTCTCACTTTCTCTTCCTATTTCCCATGGCTTACCATAGAAATAAAAAATGTTTAAAGTGATTCTAAAACATTCTAAAACTGAACAGTATTTATTCCCCTTGCCTTCCCTCCAAAACGTTTTTGCCAGAGTTGGCCTTCAAATGATTTTTTAGGCTACTTTCACACTGAGGAGTTTAAGCGTTTTTGTGTTAAAACATGTATGTGAATGAATATCTATGTATGTTTTCACACTGAGGCCTTGCGCTTGCAGTGCAGTGTAAATATTCCTGCTTGCAGCATCTTTGGGGCATGTTTATGGAGTAAAAAAAAAAAAAAAGCCCCAAAAACACTCTTTTCATTGAAATCAATAGAAAACGCCTCAAAAAAGCCTCTGAGAGGCATTTGTGGTGCAGTTTTTAAGTCAGTTCTCCCTTAAAAACACTCAGCACGGCAAAAGTGTGGTAAAATTGCCTATGTGTTTTTGCGGTGGATCAGTGTGTCTTAAAAACGGATTTATTTTCCCTGTTTCTCATGCTCATACTTACTCATGCGTAATCCCTGGTGGATCTAGAGGAATTGCAGGTCTGTGATCCTCCTCTCCTTTACATGAAGCCGCCATACTGGTTATTAGGTCCTGCCAACTGTTCAAGAAACAAAAAAGGAAAAAAATTCACAGGTTTTCTGACCCCTAATTATAAGGTAGCAAACGATTATTCCCATCCTAAAATGTAAGTACTTTTAAAAATAAACGAACAGATCAGTTGCATCACACGTGTACCACAGTTGCATGATTAGCCAGGTTAAACAAAAGAAAAAAAAGACGTTTAACCAAGGAAGAAAAAAAATATATAAAAAAAATAAAATCCCAAAACAAAAAAAATACTAAATTTAATCTCAGTAAGGAATGTGCAGGGCATATGCTCTCAGCACAGCATTGTTTACATTTTGGTATGCATACATGCGGCCTCTCGGCGTTAAGGTCCACCTGCCAAGAGGCCGCATATATGCTGGCAGGATGAGTTTAATCAAGTCCACCTAAATTTGCTAGTCTAACACTACCCTTTCCTCAGGCTGACAATGTTACTGTCCAAAGACGTCTGCTTTACCACTCCATTCAGAATGAAGACACCCTAAAAAGGATGTGTTACTGGCCAGATCAGCAGATAAAATAAAGGGGAAAAAAAACTAATGCAACCACCACATGTAAGGATAGGTAAGCGGTTACAAAATAAATATTTGGTTTGGGGCTTAATACAAATAAAAATCTTAACCTCAGAACTCAAAACCTACAAAGTAAAAAAACACATGGCCCCCTTTGATTTTGGCATTAGCCTTTAAATGAACTATCAAGTTTGATATATGGACTATTTACGCATTTATAAAAAGGTAATCACCACCCCGTGATGCTTTTTAAGGAAGAATAATTTCAGTTCAGCTAATCTTTACTTATACCAAAAGCGCTTCTATTCAAAAATACTAATCAGAGCAATATTAAGCTCAAAGGAAGAGAATTTTATGGCTGCTTTAGCAGATATAAACACACGTATATACACATACTATGTAGTTTGGGTGCATATACACATTATATTGTCAAAAGTATTAGGACACCTGCCTTTACACACACATGAACTTTAATGGCATCCCAGTCTTAGCTGCAAAGGGTGGGCCAACTCAATATTGAACCCTACAGACTATAACAGCTTCAGCTCTTCTGAGAAGGCTGGCCACAAGGTTCAGGAGAGTGTCTATGGGAATGTTTGACCATTGTTCCAGAAATGCATGTGTGAGGTCAGGCACTGATTCAGACGAGAAGGCCTGGCTCACAGTCTCCGTTCTAATTCATCCCAAAGGTGTTCTATCGGGTTGAGGTCAAGACTCTATGCAGGCCAGTCAAGTTCCTCCACCGCAAACTCACTCATCCATGTCTTTATGGACCTTGCTTTGTACACTGGTGCACCATCATGTTGGAACAGGAAGGGGCCATCCCCAAAATGTTCCCACAAAGTTGGGAGCATGACATTTTCCAAAATGTCTTGGAATGCTGACGCCTTAAAATTTCCCTTCACTGGAACTAAGGGGCCAAGTTCAACTCCTGAAAAACTACCCCACACCATAAACCCCCCCTCCACCAAACTTTGCACTTGGCACAATGCAGTCAGGCAAGTGTCATTCTCCTGGCAACTGCCCATCCCAGACATGTCCATCACATTGCCAGACAGAGAAGCGTGATTTGTCACTCCAGAGAACATGTCTCCACTGCGTCCTACGCTTTGCATTGCACTTGCTTATGTAAGGCTTGGATGCAGCTGCTCTGCCATGAAAACCCATTCCATGAAGCTCTCTATGCACTGTTGTTGTACTAATCTGAAGGCCACACGAAGTTTGGAGGTCTTTAGCTATTGAGTCTGCAGACAATTGGCGACTGTGCGTTTCAGCATGCACTGAACCCGCTCTTTCATTTTACGTGGCCTACCACTTTGTGGCCGAGTTGCTGTTTCCAAATGCTTCAACTTTGTTATATTCCACTGACAGTTGACCATGCAATATTTAGTAGCAAGGAAATTTCACAGATGGACTTATTGAACAGGTGGCAACCACGCTAGAATTCACTGAGCTCCTGAGAGCGACCCATTCTTTTACAAAATGTTTGTAGAAGCAGTCTGCATTCCTAGGGGCTTGATTTTATACACCTGTGGCCATGGAGGTGATTGGAACACCTGAATTCAATGACTTGGAGGGGTGTCCCAATACTTTTGGCAATATAGTGCATATTTACACACACAGTGGGGAAAATAATTATTTGATCTCCTGCTGCTTTGTTACATTTGCCCAATTACAAAGAAATGAGTAATGAGAGTCTAATTTTTTATCATACATGTATTTTAAATTATAGACACAGAATATCAACCAAGAATCCAGAAAAAAAACACAATACAAATCTTATAAATTGAGTTGCAGATCAGAAAGTAAAATAAGTATTTGATCCCCTACCAACAACAATTCTGGCTCTTATAGACTGGCTATGTGCTCGTGTGGTACACATTAGTCCTGTCAATTTAAGAAGGTGCTCATAACGACAATTCGTTATGTGCATAAAGGACACCTGCCAACATAATCTTTCTTGGGCACCACCATGGGCAAAACCAAAGAGCTTGCAAAGGAGGTCAGGGACAAGATTGTAGACCTGCACAAGGCTGGAATGGGCTACAAGACCATCAGCAAGAAACTTGGTGAAAAGGAGATAACTGTTGGAGCAATTATTTGCAAATGGAAGAAATACAAAATAACCATCAATTACCCTCGGTCTGGAGCTCCATGAAAGATTTCACCTCATGGGGTAAGGATGATCATGATAAAAGTGAGGGATCAGCCCAGACACTACATGGGAGGAGCTTGTGAATGATCTCAATGCAGTTGGGACCACAGTCACCAAACAAACCATTGGTAACACAATACGCCGCCACAGATTGAAATCCTGCAGCGCCCGCAAGGTTTCCCTCCTCAAGAAGACACATGCATAGGCCAGTCTGAAGTTTGCCAATGAACATCTAAATCACGACGTCTAGATGCACTGAGTTGCTGCCATGTGATTAGATGATTAGCAATTTGTGTTACCAAGAAATTGAACAGGTGTACCTGTACAGTGGCCGGTGAGTGTGCCTATATAATATATTTCACACACACTACTGTGCAAAAGTTTTAGGCAGGCTTGGTAAAAATGCAGTAAATTAAGAATGCTTTCAGAAATATAAGTGCTATTATTTTAATCTGACCAATCAACAAAATGAAAAGTAAATTAACAGAAGAGAAATCCAAATCAAAATTTGCTGTGACTACCTTCTCCCTTCAAAACAGCATCAATTTTTCTAGGTACACACATTGCTTGTGCACACATTTTTTGAAGGAACTTGGCAGGTAGGTTGTTCCAAACATCTTGGAGAACCACAGATCCTCTGTGGATGTAGGCTGCCTCAAATTCTTCTGTCTCTTCATGAAATCCCAGACAGACTCAATGTTGATATCAGGGCTCTGTGGGAGCTAAACCATCACTCCAGGATGCCTTGTTTTTCTTTATTCTGAAGATAGTTCTTAAAATTATACTAAAGTTTCAGATATTTAAAAAAAACAAAACAGGTGACATACAAAGTGCGGCAGGGCCCTGCTCCCCCCCCCCTCACTGCTGCAGAATAAATTTGGGGCCAATCACACCTCTTCCTGATGGTATGGCATGGTGGATATCTGCCTGTATTTCTCAGCATTGAGGGCACCATTGATCCTGACCAAATCTCCAACTCCATATGTAGAAATGCAGCCCCAAACTTGCAAGGAACCTCCACCATGCTTCACTGCTGCTTGCAGACATGCACTGTACCACTCTCCAGCCTTTCGGCAAAAAACGTACTTCTGCTACAGTCAAACATTTCACATTTTGACTCATCAGTTCATTTTTCTACACCCCAGTTCCTATGGTTTCGTGCATAGTTGAGCGGCTCAGCCTTGCTTCCACGTCAGTTGCATGACTTTTTGGCCGCAATTCTTACATGAAGACCACTTCTGGACAGACTTCTCCCGACAGTAGATGGGTGTACTTGCATTCTACTGGTTTCCCCCAGTTCTGTGCTGATGGCATTGATGGACATCTTCTGGTGTCGAAGGGAAGCATGATGCACCTTTCATCTGCTGCATTAAGTTTCCTTGGCTGACCACTGTGTCTGCAGTCTCAAACTTTGTTTGTTTCTTTGGGCTTCTTCAAAAGAGCTTGAACAGCACATCTTGAAACCCCAATCTGCTTTGAAATCTTTGCTTGGGAGAGACCTTTCTGATGCAGTATAACTACCTTGTGTCTTGTTGCTGTGCTCAGTCTCGCCATGGTTTATGACATCTGAGATGAAACAGTCTTCCACAACCTCACTTTAGTTGCAGAGTTTGGCTGTTCCTCACCCATTTTTAAGCTTTCTACACAGCTGTTTCAGTTAATGACTGTTTCAACCTACATATGAAACTGATCATCAATAGCACCTGCTTGGTACAGTTGGTTAATCATACACCTGACTATAATCCTACAAAACATGACATGACAATACAAAGTGTGCAAGTGTTAGAATTGATGCTGGTTTGAAGCCAAAAGGTAGTCAACAAATATTGATTTAGATTTTTCCTCTGTTTGCTCACTTTGCATTTTGTACACTGATAAAAACAGTTAAATATATACTTTTGAAAGCATTGTTGCACACCTGCCTAAAACTTTTGCACAGCACTGTGTGTGTGTATATATATCTTTAAGTAAACATATGCTGCTACCTGGCTCTTTAAAGCCCATCTCCCTGAAAAAAAACAAAAAAACAAAAAAAAAATGGTTGAGCAGCCCTGAAAAAGGTAAAAAAAAAAAAAAAGTGCATTTTTTTTTTATTTTTATTTTTTAGGAGCAGATTACGGGTGAAATCTTAGGCTCCTGCAGACTGCCAGTGTATCTGTCAGGCAGTTACACAATGAGAGGAAGACTCAATGAAATACCTAGAGCACTCACTAGCGCCCTGGTAGTTCATTGAGAACTACAAGCAGTCAACCGCAAAGGCTGTCAGTACTTGTAGTTCAATTCATTCACAGATCTCTTTTCAAACTGTGACAGCGGGCGCAGGAAAAAGATCTCCTCCCAGCTGTCACAATGGGAAGGGGGGGGGGGGGGGGGGGAGTCAGCAAGAGGCTGCAGGAGTGGGAACATGTTAAATGTTCCACCCTAAAAATGGGTCGAATATGTAAGATGTTCGCAAAGGTGAACTTATCCTTTAAGTGGGTCCTATACATTGGAGATTCAGCTTGGTTTTATAAAGATCATTAGCTGCTAAATTAAGAATTGTAAACACATACACATTTTTCTCAGAGACTGTGCTGGCGATGAGCTCGTAAATTTGTGCCCCGTTGTCAGACATTGAAATTACGAAGAGTGCCTTGTTATCTATGAAAAAAGAAAAGCACACTGAAGGTACAGAAAAAAAAACAAATAAAAAAAACAACCCCCCCCCCCCAAAAAATATGCACATAGAAAAAACATTTGGGTTAGCCTTTTAACACTTCAATACAGAGAAACATTAGATATGCCTTGTTAACGATACATAAATACACACAACTATAAGGTGATGTACGGTTATGTACTTTAGTTATATTCACATATGTTCTGTGTTTTCATTCATTTACACTGCATGAGGGAACAACTAAAGGTCCAAATGTGTAATTGACAAGCTTTGCTACTGTAGCCACTGCTACATCATTATGAAATGTAACACTCCAGTTACTTCCAAACTCTCCAAGGAATTGAAGCCAATGGATAAACACAGTTTCCACCAATGTAGGTGAAAGCACATAATTTGTGTGAAAGCTGACTTTTCTTTATTTCAGGGGTTTGGACTGTCCTGTCATTAAAAAGGCAGAGGATCAGAAAAAGTCATGAACCTCAAATTCTTGACACAAGTCAAAATTGGCTTTATATTTTTTGTTCTCTTTTCCTGCATTGCGAACCATTGTAGTGCCATCTTCATCTAAGGAGGGCTACATTTTTACTAAAGGTTGCAGAGTGATCAATCCAAAACAAAAGATTAATTACCCTATTCTAAGCAGACCAAATTAATGAAGTATGTTTTACCCCTTTCTACCTGCAATCTGTACATTAATGTTCTTCAGCACAATGTCCCATGCTGAGTATTAATATATACCAATCTGTGATCATGTTGCATCTGACAGCTGCCCTGCACATGTGATTCCCCTAACAGCAGCTAGCTCAGCTGTCAATGTGCTTAACCACTTCAGCCCCCAGCCATTTCCAGCACTGTTTACATTTTAAAATCATTTTTTTTTGCAAGAAAATATGTCTTAGAGCCCCCAAACATCATATATTTTTTAAAGGCCCTAGAGAATTGGTGGTTTTTGTATTATATTTATATCACATGGTATTTGCACAGCAGTTTTTCAAATGCAATTTTTGGAAAAAAAATACACTTTTTTAAATTTTATTGCAAATAAAACCACAATACATAACCCAATTTTTTAGTAAAATATAAAAGATGAGGTTATGCTGAGCAAATTGTCATGCTTTAAAATTGTGCACGCCCGTGGAATGGTGACAAAATACGTAAATTTTACTATTCATTGGCGACGGTTTAAAAGCCTTTACAGGTTACCACTTTAGATTTAAAGAGGACGTCTAGTGCTAGAATTAGCCCATGATCTGACGATGCAGCGATACCTCACATGTGTAGGACGATTCCTGTTTGCATGTGTGCCGGATCGATGCATGCGTATGGGGGCACACTGATTTTCTTTTATTTATTTTACCGTTACTTTAAATTTTTCTTTTGATCACTTTTATTGCTATCGCAAAGAATGTACACATCCCCTATGACAGCAATAGACACATTTATTTTTTATGGAGGGATCTGGGGTATCTCTCTTCTGCATTTGAAAGCATTCAAAACATCAAGATCTGTGTTTTTTGAATGCTTTCAGATTTTTAAAAATGGCACCGAAAGCTTCCAAGTGAACCAGAAGTGATTTCAGGTCATAACTCCCGGTTTACAATAAAGGAGAGGCGAACAAAGTAGATTTACGCTGCCCTGACTTTTCCTTTTTTAAAAAATGTTCTACACCAAAAACTGCATGGTGCTGTGGAACCAATCATTTGGCACGTGTGATAACGAAGGCAAATGCAGATGAGCGAGCTGCCATTAACAATTAATGGAACCTCCGTTTATCTGCTAATGGGAAGTGCATTTCCCTGTGTGTCAGGAAAGCACACGGTTTTGGGTGCTTTCCCAAAGAGCATATGTCTGAACCTAGCCTTACACAGAGAGCATAGCTGCAGCTGTTGTAGTGGTATACAAAGTGTAAACTGAATTTTATTTTATTTTTTCAGCTGTCAGCTTACAATAAAAAAAAATAAAAAATCTGATTAGGGTTTTCAGCAAAACAAAATAAAATACTGGACAACAAAGATTTTGCTTCCCCAAACACTTTTTGGTGTATTAGAGATTTTTTGGCTGGTAATCACAAAAATAACCTGTACTTTAACCTAACTCATAATGTTACAGTATGTAGAAATCAGATTTTGCAATACCTGTTGGCTATGCTGCACACATGAAAGAAACATACGAAAACAAGGAACTGATCCTGAAGCACATCCAGTACACCAAGTACAACTGGAATATCTGTGAAGATCTAAAACTAGTGGCTCTGCTGCTTGGAATGCAGCTTGGACACACCAAGTACTGTTATATATGCAAATGGCACAGCATTAGAGCTGTATTGTATTCAAAATAAATGGACATTCTGAAAGAGTTTAAATCCAGGACAGAAAAACAAAGCATGTGAACCATTTGTTGACCAGACAAAGATATTTTTGTTTTCGCGTCACAAAAACTTGGACTGATGAAAAATTTTTTGAGTGATGAACAATGAATGTGATGGTCTTAGTTACTTGAGATCAATATTTCCAAGAACAACTGATGTCGAGATTATGCAAGGCATTTTTGTTCATTCACAGATCAGATAGGTCTGTTACATCTGATATGATCTGTTAGTGAGGTGCGAGAAAATTACCTGAAAAATAACGAAGGATGTCACTGAATATTTTCTTGGCAACTACAGAACACCAAGCTACAGACAAACGTCTTACAGCATACAAGACCATATAGTGCAACATGTCACTGAAGATTTTCTGCATTCACATTTGGAATTCTTTTTCCGAAAGTATACAGTGGGGATCGAAAGTTTGGGCACCCCAGCTAAAATTTGTATTAATGTGCATAAAGAAGCCAAGGAAAGATGGAAAAATCTCCAAAAGGCATCAAATTACAGATTAGACATTCTTATAATATGTCAACAAAAGTTAGATTTTATTTCCATCATTTACATTTTCAAAATAACAGAAAACAAAAAAATGGCGTCTGCAAAAGTTTGGGCACCCTGCAGAATTTATAGCATGCACTGCCCCCTTTGCAAAGCTGAGACCTGCCAGTGTCATGGATTGTTCTCAATCATCGTCTGGGAAGACCAGGTTATATCAATCTCAAAGGTTTTAAATGCCCAGACTCATCTGACCTTGCCCCAACAATCAGCACCATGGGTTCTTCTAAGCAGTTGTCTAGAAAACTGAAACTGAAAATAGTTGACGCTCACAAAGCTGGAGAAGGCTATAAGAAGATAGCAAAGCATTTTCAGATGTCAATATCCTCTGTTCGGAATGTAATTAAATAATGGCAGTCATCAGGAACAGTGGAAGTTAAAGCAAGATCTGGAAGACCAAGAAACATATAAGACAGAACAGCTCGCAGGATTGTGAGAAAAACAATTCAAAATCCACGTTTGACTGCACGATCCCTCCAGAAAGATCTGGTAGACACTGGAGTTGCGGTACACTATTCCACTATAAAGAGATACTTGTACAAATATGGTCTTCATGGAAGAGTCATCAGAAGAAAACCTCTTCTACGTCCTCACCACAAAAATCATGGTTTGAACTTTGCAAATGACCATATAGACAAGCCTGATGCATTTTGGAAACAAGTTCTGTGGACCGATGAGGTTAAAATTGAACTTTTTGGCCGGAATGAGCAAAGGTACGTTTGGAGAAGAAGGGGCACAGAATTTAATGAAAAGAACCTCTGTCCAACTGTTAAGCATGGGGTTGGATCAATCATGCTTTGGGGTTGTGTTGCAGCCAGTGGCACAGGGAACATCTCACGAGTAGAAGGAAAAATGGATTCAATAAAATTTCAGCAAATTTTGGATGGTAACTTGATGCCATCTGTGAAAAAGCTGAAGTTAAAGAGAGGATGGCTTTTACAAATGGATAATGATCCTAAACACACCTCGAAATCCATGGGGGATTACATCAAGAGGCGTAAACTGAAGGTTTTGCCATGGCCTTCACAATCTCCTGACCTCAACATAATTGAAAATCTATGGATAGACCTTAAAAGAGCAGTGAGTGACAGACAGCCCAGAAATCTCAAAGAACTGGAAGACTTTTGGAAGGAAGAATGGGCAAAGATACCTCAAACAAGAATTGAAAGACTCTTGGCTGGCTACAAAAAGCTTTTACAAGCTGTGATACTTGCCAAAGGGGGCAGTACAAGATATTAACTCTGCAGGGTGCCCAAACTCTTGCAGATGCCATTTTTTTGTTTTCTGTTATTTTGAAAGTGTAAATGATGGAAATAAAATCTAACTTTTGTTGACATATTATAAGAATGTCTAATCTGTAATTTGATGCCTTTTGGAGATTTTTCCATCTTTCCTTGGCTTCTTTATGCACATTAATACAAATTTTTAGCTGGGGTGCCCAAACTTTCGATCCCTACTGTAGGTGCAGTCACTGATGAACATGGGGAAAGGATCCCTCAGGACATTATCACAGTAGAAACACTATTTCGGGACAACTAAAATCCATCAATTCTGGATGACTATGCTAGTGTGGAGTTCAAAGGGAGCAGATGGTGAGGAAGCGAGACAAGGCCTTTAGAGAGCAACACTAGTGTAAGTTTGCCCTTAGCCCTGTTGAACTCATGCAGCATGTCATAAACATAATGCAATTAAATACATTATATCCATTAAAAGTTCATTTTATATTTCTCAAGATATCTACGTGAGCCAGTGATGCCAATATTATGTATGTTTTAGCTTTGAGGAATGGGGTGTGCCCCCAAAATGTGTCAGCTTGCCCATATAGTGGTTCATCGGGTCAGGTCACATGATACCAGCAGTGGACCTTGTTCTGATGTAATACAATGCATGTATTTCTGCCACCTTTGCGAGTATGAATTTGACTTCTTGTTCATTTTAATAATAAATATTTTGGTAATTCACTAGTCATTTGCACCCTCCTGCTTTTTTCTACAGTTTTCCACAAGACTTCCCTATCTAAGGAAGGCTGCACCAACAAAGTATTCCAGTTGAAGAGTTTGAATCTGACTATCCACACTGCATGGTTATTGTGTACCAGTCCCCTGAGCGCCTGGAGTATTTGTCTGTGTTTGGGTCCATCATAATCACCAAAAGCTTTTCAGGAAGCAAAACTTGAAAAAAAATTGTTGTCCAGTGATGTCCACAAACACAGTGTAAACATTATTCAGGTAGGGATGTTAAGAGTTATAGTCTAGTTATCTAAAACATATTGATACTGGAAATTTGGCCTTGGCATCTAGATATCAATGACCTCAGATTATGAAAGAGTTAAAGAAGCTGTCCAAGAGTCATAGTACTTAACATCACAAAGCAGTTTTGCTTCATAGGCTTGTGTAGAAAAACACAGTTGGTGAAAAATATAACAACCCAATGGTACCCTTGTACAGTCACTACTGCTATCCTTCCATTATATACAACAGATGAAGAACCGGACTGACCTGTTGCCACTTGTCGTACAAGCACGGTGTTAAGTTTGATCACAGGACTGAAAATGTGTTTGCTGTCTGAGGTGGTTGCCAGAATCTTACTGTGACATCTAAGGATCAATTTGTCATCCTGTTTTTGCAGCAAGACCAAAATATCCTCTAACAACAATGTATAGAGATCTGTAAAGAGGAAAGAGGCACTTGTAAGAGATAAAAGCATTTATTTAGATCTTCAGATGTGTGATGTGGAGCTGAAAATTTATCCTCATACCAGGTCTTAGAAGAACCTTGGCCAATATTTGGACAATGTAAATTACTGCTGAATGCACCACCTATATATTGTACACTGAAAAAATTTGGTAGTCTAACAAAATAAGTGAAAGCCAAATTCTAATTGATTGTTATGGGCCGATTGGTTGTAGCCAATAAGATGCAAGTAGCAACACAAACAGCCTTTTCAGGTGTTGCAGTGTTGAATACATCCACAGAGTTTAACCAGTTTCGCACAATACATAATGTAGTGATTATATATTTTATCACCTGAAAGCTATCATGTGGCAATCACATTTGTTTATAATGCATGATTAGGTTTGCTTTAGAAAATCGAGTATTCTTTGCTACATGCACTTTTTTCTATTCAACATTAAAATTGTTTCATTACAAACAATCACGTTCATTTTATGCTCGCTAAAATACCAACGCTTCCACGATTCTACCCACCAATGATCTTGTCTCGATTCACCTTCCAAGCCAAAGGCCCCTCATGAAACATCTTCCTTTTCGTCAAATCTAGATTCTGGAAACAAACACGTAGTCAACATCACCAACAAAGTTCAAAATGTGGATATATTTGATGGGCAGACAGAAGGAACGCACATACTGGTGGGAGACTGTATTACCCTAAACAGATATGAAGAAGAGCTTGTTTGTACATGTAAGTTATGACACATAGTAATATTGTAAAGTACACCAGAACATTTTTCAGAGAGAATGGCAAAAAGGTAACATTCCAAGATAAACCCAAGAGCAAAAAAATGATTAGTAATACCATATTATATTCATCTGGATTTTTTTTCTTTTCACTTGGTGTCAGCCAAGAGAGCCCATTGCCAATAAGCACCAACGCTCTGGTTACCCCAGGAATTTTTCTTCTATATTTGTTAGAGCCTGACTGCCCTCAAAAGGAAGAGTGTGGCCTCTGAATACTAACATTGACCTGTAGTCCCACAAGGAATAGCTCTGCTGCGACTTGCAGTCCAACAAGGCAACTGCTACTGTTGCACCCTGTAGTCCCACTAAACAGAAGTGTCTCGCTGTGACCTGTAATCCCACCAGAGCCTACATTGACATCCTCATGTGGGGATCCAAGATGGCTGCAGCCAGAGTGCTCTGCCTCATTTGTGACGTCACCAGCCACACTGCGTATGCATGCATTCTCAAGTAAATGCAGGGGTAGAAAAAAAAAAAATTTCTGTCTCCTGAATTTGGTGTCCAGAGCCTCCTAGACTGGCCTTAACCTCCACTAATCTTATGTAGGGCTCAGAGGGGATCAGAAGGCCAGTACAGAAAGAACAGGGTAAGTACAAAAAAAAAAAAAGATGATCTTTAGTGCCACCAGGGACCAGAGGTGTATGTGTTTGGGGGGTGAAGGGAGGACCCAGAACAAGGCTAAGGCCACCAGCAGGGACTATCCCAGGACACTCCCCATTCCATGGGACAGGAACCCTTAAGAGGTCCAATCTTCACCTATCACGGCAAGCAGTGTTACGAGGGCCTTCAAGGACCCAACTCCCCAGCTGGGAATCAGTGCCCTGGAACTGTATAACACCCTACCAGTTTGCATGGCAATATATCATTGTGCAGGGTCCAGTGTGAACCAGCAGAACTTCAGGGTATTTCCGCATGTCCGGGTACCATTCCTCTGCGCATAGAAAAGCCGGAGAAAAATGGAACTGGAAAAGCTAGTTTTCTAATCCCAGATGGAACTATTGAGTATATAGATATTTTTTTCATGCAAAGACATGACCCATTATCAAAGACACTAGCAAAAAAAATTGAAGCTTTGCCTAACGGGGAGGAGTTAGGTCTAGGACGGGATTTCCTGCCTTTTTCCCCCCAGTGTCCAATCACCTTAAGGTGACAGCATAACCCTATCATAATGTAGATTCACACACCATGTGTACTGGGATGTATGATAAAGAAAGTATGTGTGGCTATCAAAAATGTATATTTATTAGTTTTATATTTATATTAATTTTTATGTTTTGCTTAAAGGTCTGTTTAGGAGCTCAGAGTAAAAAAAAAAAAAAAAAAGCTCTTTATTAGCCGGAGTATTCATTAAGATCCAAAAGCATTTGTGGGGTTTCAAAAGCTATCATAGGGGCTTATTAATACTGAAATGAAGGCATATCTGGGCAATGAAATACACTATAAACTTTCTGGACCCTAAAGAATAGTATGGAACTTTCCTTTCTAGAATGCAAAGGTACGCCAATTAGGTATGCTTGTATTTAAGAGGAACGACAAGCTATCAGACAAATATTCCAGCTTATTATTAAACAGCCTTTTCTCAGCTGAAAGTTATCGGACTGACTCAAGGGGATCTCAAAGAAGACAGAAAATCATTTGAACAATAGTTGTTGGTTAATGATGCAAGAATAAGTATTGTGAAACAATCATGTTATTTATATGGTGATCTTAGGGCAGTAGGTTTCAATTTGTTTGAACTGATATGGATAAAGCTATAGATTTTGATATACAGATTTAATATTATTCTACTTACTCTCAGCTCATCAATCATAGGGTACTCTCCTGGCTTGAGGTAGGACAAGTCAAGTCTTCGTTGGTAATCTTCTAACCTCTGCAATGATGAAAACACAGTATGAAGCTCTAGTTTGATCATTCCTGTGCTGTTAAAGTTAATCTTTAATAGCAGAGAAAACAAAAACTATTAAAGGCTTTCATATTTTTTTTTAAATAAAAAAAACAGGTTTATACCAGTTTATACTAACCTACTCTGTGCATTTGAATTGCACAGAGCGGCCTGACCCTCCTCTTTTCATGTCCCCCACCAGCGGTCCTGGCTCCTCCTTTCTCAGTGTGCCACTGTGTCAATGGATACAGGCGTGTCTGATCCTGAGCCGCATTGCCTGTATCCACTGACACAGAAAGCGTGACTCGGCTCTGCCCCTGCTCCCTCGTCGCATGGTTTGACTGACAGCAGTGGGAACCAATGGCTCCTGTTGCTCTGAGCAAAGTCTGTGACAGCAGGGAGAAGAGGAGAGAGCCTCTACAGACAGGAACAGAGCTGGATCATTTGAGGACTCAGGTACGTATGAAAGGGAGGGGTTTGGGGGTTGAGGAGGAAATATTCTAACCTAAACATTATTTACCTCAATACAAGGGACACATTAAGGTAAAAAATGGTTAGGCTTTAGAACCACTTCTGGCATAAAAGTCAAATGAACAGAAAATATAGAACATATAACTGCAAGACAGCCAGAGAGAGTAAGATGTTGTTCGCACTAGTGCAATTTCTCCTGTGACTGCTGGCACGCTGCAAAGCACGGAAATGGAAATCATATTATTCTCTATGGTGCCCATTCACAGCAAACCAACACGGTGCAATGAAATTTTTGAAAAAGTGCAGGTGTTTCTTTTAGTCCAGCATAGTACATATTTTTGCTCCATAGACTTCAATGGGAGTACATGAAAAGTACATGTATATACATCAAAAATGGGCTTAGAAAATGCACTGCAAA